TCGCCCAAGAGATCGACATTTGACTCAAATAGAATGGCCTTCTCGAACAAGCCTTACACCTGGTAGCAAAAATGTAATAAGAGATAACTTGTTGATCCAAAAAAAAAAATTCCTGCCTTCTCTTCATATAAAATTTGGCTTGATGAAGCAGTTTGTTAAAGTACTAGACAAAAAAGGACAGTTTCAAATATTTGTGTGAGAAATTTGCTGCCATATCTGATGCCAAGATAAAAGAAGGTATTGTTGGACTGCAGATGCAAGGATTTGCAGAACACAATGACGAAAACACCTGGGTTTCATTTAAAGAAGTATTTGATAATTTACTTGCAAACTCCATGGACAAAAAAGTATTGTTTAAAATTTGTTACAACGCTTTCATCGTCTAGGTTGTAATATGAGTTTGAAAATGCATTTCCTGTTTTCACACTTAAATTATTTTCCTGGAAATCTTGGAGCAGTTAGCGAAAAACAGGGAGAGAGTTTTCACCAGGATATTAAGGAAATGGGACGGCGATACTAAGGCCATAAAATTTAATTTTGTAGACCTATGTTACTATGGAGACAAAAAAGTCTTGGTAAGTCTATATTTATGTAGGAAATAACAAAAACACTAGTTTTCTCCAAAACTTTCTCCCCTAGAAAAATACTTAACAAAGCAATAATAAAACAAATAATAACTAGCACGCATTCTAATTACACGAGAGTTCCCAATAAAGCACTGCTTGCTGCCTATAATGGTAGCAAGTTGACAAGAACTTCCGGTAAAGTACACAGGCACTTATCTTCAATCACGTTGTGATTTTTTAAAATTAAATGTATTCGATCGGCTCTAGACGTATCGCCCTATAATATTTCAATCGATAACATGTTAATCTGCTGGCGCCGTAGAGGGGAGAAGCTGTGCTCGATCATTATGCAGTCCAGAAAATTGTTTCGGGGTTTGAACTTGTAATTGAAAATTTCAATGAATAAATTTGTTATAATACATTGATGTGTGGATGCGTTTTCAATTTAGGTTTAGCCGATGCAGTTTTAAGCGCGTCGTTAGGGATTTTAATATATACAGTGTGTATCGACAAACTTTAACAAAAGCATTTTTGGGAAGTAATTTAGTAATTACATAAGATAATGTTTACCATTTATATTTTGAAAGATTGGCACAATCCTAACTTGAATCCGCAAAACAGTTTTGGATAGTTTAGTTTTTAGAAAAATGGTGAATAACCTGTTTCGAGACATGCCTTGTAGAGGTCCAATGTGATCCGTTCTAAGACGTATTCGTAATTAATTCATCATGTTATAAATTTTGCTATATATATATATATATATATATATATATATATATATATATATATATATATATATATATATATGTTCGGAGTGTTTTCGGAGCGCGAGCATTGAAGATGCCAAGTGAGATTTTGGCGAAACGTCTGCAGGATTCCAGTCGGAGTTCAACGAGCGAACGGATGATGTCCCGGAATATAGTGTCATCACATTTTTCCATCCGTGAATCAATACGTGAGAATATATATATATATATATATATATATATATATATATATATATATATATATATATATATATATATATATATATATACCGCCCTAACGTTTCACGTCTAATACGAATAATACCATATAATTTGAAAAAATAAATGCTTATTATTCAAGTTACACATTAAATAACAAAACTTAAATAATCCTAGTCCTAATATAACACCTAACATCAAAAACGAAGAAATGAATTTTCCGGAGTATTACTATCACCATAAATTATATTCACATTTACCATTGTCCCTTAAAATATTGGAAAAATTGTTACGTGTAGGCTTATTATTCATAAAAAGGTAAAACATTTTTAAAACAAATTCGAAAAGAAAAATAATAATAGTGTATTCTAATTAAACAATTATTTTTTAAACAATTTTAAATTGTGTATCCTTACAATGTTTACAACTTTTGTATTAACCATCTGCTCTAACTTCTAAAACCAATGAGATAAAGCAATTTTTATGGTTGACTCGCCCTGTATATATTAAGTTAAACTACCATAAATATAACTATTAAAAGTTCAATCAAATTGCAAAGGGAACCAGGTATTCATATCAAACTCACACTGAAGTTTCACAGTGTACCCTAACACTTCTCAACTTTCTTTTTTTCTTAAAATGGTAATTGACGCGTGTTTTTTAAACATTATTTATTTTAGAGAATCCTAGTCTGGCTCCAAGTACGGTCCACATGTGCAGATGGCCATTTGCTAAGATTGTAGGTTTTATTGGACAACACTAAACTACACCATAACACTTTCGTACATGTGAGGGTAAATTCTCCGTATTTCTCCGACGTATTTTACGGCTATCGCGTCATTAAAAGGAATCATAAACGCAGAAGTAGGAAATGACCGAGAGTAATACCCTCCGGTCATTCGGAAAACACGTCTTACCATTATATCGAACAGATACAGAATGTGAGGATAGCAACTTGATTGCAGTAATGATCTTGACGTCGGATTTAAAGCGAGACAAACAAGCATTTTCAGAACTCTGGAAGTTTCAAGAAAATTGAATTGTTCAAGTTGATCAAATGAAGTCAATGGACTATATTTACAGTCTCCACTGGTGTGGAACTTCCGTGCTTGACGAATGGACAAACAGTCGTTCGTCAAGATCGCATTTATTTTTATTCGGTGGACATCGCGATTGTTTGAACGCAATCATTGCAATGCGAAAATAGGTTCATAAAATTTTTCGTTGGGGGGTTGGGAAGGAAAAATATCCGATTTTTTAAATACAAACAAGCCAGTGTATCGAACAAACGACTCGATAAATATAAGCCGAGGGCGAACGTCAATTTCTTTTGATTCATAGCGCCTCTATTTATAGATTCTGACCAATAAAATAAATCCGGGCGCAAAAACTCTCGATCAATTGTCACCAGATATTCCATATTGTTTGTCGGTAAACAGATAAAAATCACGTTGGCCGTTTTCCAACTGGCGTAATCCGGTGTGATAAAAACGCAGCTAGCTTAGGAAATGGACGGCGTTTGTTCGAAAAAGAGGAAAACAATAATAGTACGCCTGCAAATGTAACCCTTTCGATTTATCTGCAATAATTTCCTTTTTGATTCCCTAAGATCTTATATAATTATTATAGAATTTAGTCTAAAATTTTTATTCAAAGTTTGTTGTTGTATAAGTTGTTTGCTATGAACAAGCTTAAATATCCACCATATCAGTCGCAGAAATAGGAAATAGGGTCAATTGTCAGGTTTTTGAATATTGAAATAAAATTAAAGTTATCCGAATTCAATATCGAATTTGTGGGGCAAATTTTAGTTAATGTGAGACGGGTAGCAATGGGGATTACTAAGGGATTACTAAATTAAGAAAACCAAGAAATTGTTTTATAATACTTCTCAATTTTACATTTTTTATTTTTTTATGCATTATTTTTCGGTTTTTTGAAAGGAAATCCTTATAATTATTTATCCTTCTAATTGATTTGACTATTTTGGAAGGGAGGGAGGGAGAGATGGAGAGGGGGGATTGGAAGGGAGAGGGGGGAGAGAGGGAGAGGGGGGGAGAGAGGGAGAGGGAGAGAGAGGGGGAGGTAAGTCTCATCAATAAATACGGTGTTTAAGCATCTCGTATATTTTCCCTCAATGTGAGGTAAATTCATTAGGGAATTTCTATTATTTCCACTTAAAACCAATAATTTTTATGTATTTTCTCAGCGAGCAGATGGAAAAAATTTCTCTATTAGTTATTCAAGTAAAATATGCTTTTGATTCATTCTGAGATAAATGAATTCGACTCGATTACATTTCCATTATTCCATTTTCAGCCAAGATATTCCAAACTATTAGATTGCTGATTGTATTTATCTTGCAAAAGGCACAACAAATCAATGTCAATTTTGAAGAATATATTCTGACATATAACCAAAAACGGGATGACGGTTATAAACGTCCATGATTTTGCTTTTTTTTGTCTCTGTCAGTTGACATACAGTGACTCACAGCTTAAATGATACAGTGGCTAAAACAAAAACTTAAAGGATGCAAAAATAATAACCGAGGTCAAAACTTATCAGTTTTTTCGCAGGATTCGTCGAATTGTTTCCGGGTTACACGTTTTTCCAAACTGTCTTTCCATCTTGACACACATCTTTGGAGCACTTTTTTTTGGATAATTGGATATCTCTCTTACAATCCATCTTTCCTCGCGTTCATTGAAGATCTTATTTGGAGATAACCTTGACTTATTCTCGACCCTATTTTCGTTACGGTAACGCTCAATGGTATGCTGAACAGTTGACTCACATTTATTTACCATTTTGGCTATGTTTCTTTGCCTGTATCCATTTCTGTGATGAGTAATAATTAAATTTCTCTCGGAAATTGTAGTAAAAAAAATCGTTTTACTGAACGAAAAAGTGTTTTAAAATGTCAAACCAAACAAAAAACAATTGCAGTTATAAATAAATTTCAAAGTGATAAATTTTGACCCCGGTTATTATTTTTGCACCATTTAAGATGTGACGTTATTATTGCATATAATTTAATTAATTCTTTATTGTTAACTAAGCAAGCTCGTTTAAGACAAAAATTAATTCTCACTTTTTTAGAAGGACCTTGACTAACTTAATTTCATTATGCCAAATAAATAAAGATGCATTCAGATCAGTTAGTTTTTGTTATAATAAAATTGTTATATAAAAAATAATCAAAACTTACGTCATTCCAGAAAGGTAATGCGCCAACTGCATTGCGCACGTATTTTGCATGTTTAGAACACCCTCTACTAATTAACAGTTCACGGAAAATGATTTATTTTTAAAGGTTATTTAGTATGTGTTCATTTTCATCATAAATCACTTGAAATAAAAACACAAGCTTTCAATATGCCGGCCGTTAGACAAAAGGTTCATTGCATCTCCGATTCGGTTACCACGAAACCATGGCAACTAGTATCAACAATAACCCATACGTCATCGTAACATTTTGATATTTTGTCTTAAAAATGTTCACGCCGCGTAAATTAAAAGAAAATTCGTCAACGCCTCGCGACAATGGAGACGGCGACGGCGTTCGGAAGAATGCTGCTTCCACGAAGAACATCCCTAGCAGAAAGCTACACGGCAGAACCGCAATGAAAATTAACCTCGGCGATTCGGAATGCGATACAACGGCCAAGAGTCTGATACCGAAGAAAAAGAAACATGCGCTGCAGAAGTCGATGTCGGTGGCAGAGATAACGCCGTCTAGAACGACGAAGAAATGCAGTGAAGAATCGTCAGATCCTTCTATCATACTATACGCTACTCCACGTCCTTTGGGAACGAGACCACGCCGATGCGTTTTGGAGAAGCACATGTGCACTATCTACCGACGTCTGATGTTAATGGCATGGCGTAAGACGCGAGCGTTTGCCACTTCGATGGCAGAGACTATAAAGACGCGAGACCACCAATTAGATACCTGCCAAAGATCCCTAGAAGTCTTAAACGAGTTGCGAATGTCCGAGGAACAAAAAAGAGTCCACGCAATGGCCGAGTGTCAGAAATTCAAAGAAGCCAACGACCTCTTGGAAACAGAAAATAAGCGATTAGTGGAAGAAATACAATCCTTGAGTAGGAAGGTCGAAGAAAATGGAAGCGATCTCGCGGAGGCAACCGAAAAGAACGCACACTTCAAAGAGCAAATGCGCAAGGTTCACGAGAAACTCGTCAAAATACAGGAGAAGGTGACGTTGCAGGAAGCGGAACTGATATCGCAATATTCGGTTATTGGTCATCTGAACGAAGCGCTGAAAGCCGCAGAGAGGAACCTGAAAGATGTCGAGTCTAATTTGAGGTTCAAGGAGCGAAAGTACGCTCAACTCAAGCAGGAATACAAAAAGGAGGTGGAAATGAACGGTGCCCACGTCAGGGAGATAAGGAAGTTACAGGAAAGCGTCGACGAGTTGCAGTGCAGCTGTATTCAATCGCGGGAACATTTCGAAGATGAGATTCGGTATTTACAAGTGGAGCTGGAAGAGGAAAAGCAGTACTCTCGGTACTTCAAAATCGCCAGGCAATTCGCTTCGCGATCTTCGAGTATGTTGAAAAAAATTGCTGGCAGGGCCGTGTCTATTTACCTGGATACATACTGATATATAAAACGTTGATGGAGTTGATTTTTTTGGCAATATTTGTAGATTTAATAGTCTCCCAAATAAACTTTACAAAATCTTTAATGAGAATCACCTTATGTTCCGATGAGATACTCATTTTACTCAACTTACTAAATATAACAATATTTGTTAATCAACTTTTCTTTGAGTAATCATAATTGTCAGATAGTTCATTCGGTAAGAATCTATGAGTGAGCAAAATCATTAATTTTAGTATAAAATTCAAAATATTTATTCATTTTTGCTTGGATGCCAGCGAAAGAAAATTTGGTTGATAGTGACAATGGTTAATGCTACTGGTGATAATGATATTCCGGAAAGTTCATTTTCTCGTTTTTGATGTTGATGTTATAATATTAGGACTAGCTTTATTTTAGTTTTGTTATTTAATGTTTAATGTGGCTAATAAAAATCCATTTTTTAAAATTATATTTTACTCTTCGTATAAGTTCAGAAAATTCAAGATTTTCCTGAAACTTTAGGGTTCTATATACAAGGTGTCTCCTAATTAAATGTCAATAATTAAAGTCCATTTTAAAAAGAAAGCTTCATATAAACGTCTTAACTTTTGAGATACAGGGTGGTAAATTGTTCAAAAATAAAATATATTTTTTTAATATCCGTTTAGATATTTTAATGAAATTTGGCACACATGTGCTGTGTATCAAGAGGCATTATTTAGTGCACCACAATCTTTTAAATATACACCAGTGGGGGGCATACGGAATTTCACCTGTTTATTTTGGCAGAGATTGATGGTACGCCACCGCATTTTCTTAAAATAAAAATTATTACAATTTCAGAAAAAATAAAGAAATTTAATGTCTTAGAAAAATAAAAACGTTTTCTCTGCATGGTTACGACAATATGGTTAATTTTGATTAATTAGGTCGTCACTGCACTGATTAAATCGAGAACTTTTTTTTAAATAAAATATCTATCTAAAACAAAATAACTAGTTTAAAAAAATAAGAAAACTGTTTTTTTTTACTCCTATAGCTTTAATGCAATGGCATAACCTCCTTAACAGCAAGATAAATAATAAACGATTCTTATTTTAAAAAAACACTACTGACGCTTAATAATTTTTAATAAAATTGTCTGTTAAGATTTCGTTCATCGGGCCAAATATGGTAATTGTAGAAATTTCTGATTGCATTTCTGGAAAAGTTAGTAACATTGACAAAAATTTACAGGCAAAGGAAAATTTCTGGGAAGTAACGCATGGATCCATAGAAAAAAAGTTGTATAGAACCTTGTGCCAAATTTCCCATGCCAAGACGTGCGAGACATTTAGATTATTTCCAGTTTTCTAAGACTAGGTTCAGGATTTTCATCAACAGAATTTAAAACTGCTTCTTCAATTTCTGGAGTTCTTACAGTCCCATAAGCCCCTTTTAAATGATTATTGGCCCTCAAAGTATCATCAGCCAAACCATACATGAAATGCATGTTTGCCAACTCCACATGAATAAACGCTACTATTCTTTTTTAAAATAACAATGCTCGGGTATTCTAAACACCAAATTAATAATTTAAATTTAAAAACTGATGTCAAACAACTGTCAAATTGCCGCCTTGACAACAGAATTAACAATTCTTACAATTCTTCAAAAGTTAAATCAACGGCTGATTAACTCCGATATAAATTAATTTTGCAAAAGATTGTCTCACCTTCAACCTGGTGATTATAGTTTATATGGGGAGAGAGTAACCTGTGCCCACGACATATGACAAAGCGACCATTGCCAGAGTCTTTAATTGAGCCTTGTAAATGCTCATCGGATTGTCTAACTATGGCTTGTAATTGTAAAGAAAAAAACAATTAAGATGTATTTCATTTTGTAAATGTATAAATAATGATTTTAAAAACAACTAACTATGTGTATTTCTAGTTACAAAACTTCTGCATTCCTCCTGCGTTGGTTGTTTTTGAGTCGAACTTGCTAAAGTTTTGCCAATCATCCTGTTTGCTTCATCTCGGATGACTGATTCCCATATTGTTGACAGGTAAAGAGCTGAGTCCCGATTAAGATTGTTAGGATGCTTTCATATTTATGTAGACTCTCGGATTTTTTGTTGGTCAAGAATTTTAGAATTTATTTGCCTAAATCTTAAGGATCTTTCATGTTCTTTGAGCGTAGTTGATATTTTTCGTCCTTTCTCCTCAATGTATTCTTTGCCACAAGTATTAAATCTGGTTTTGACGTTATATTTCTTTAGAATTTTTGATATGTGGTCAGTGATGTTTTGAATGTAAGAGAGAACAACCGTGGCAAGTGTGCTATTTCTTTCGGGTATATTGTATGGAACGATTAATATCTTTAATGTGGAAACTATTAGACAACGAGCAGAGGTAAGGTGTTTTAATTTTGCGTTCAGTGACTCGGGCTGAGATAGTTTTACGACTCTGTAAATAAGATAACCGATGATTTTTGGGCCTGATGATGATGTGACAATGCATTAAGGTATCTCTCTGTGCGCGTAGGTTTTTTTTTTTTTTAATACAATCACCATACAATGTAAGGTCTGATTTTCTATTCATAAGAATATTTAATTAAGAATGGGAGATTATTATTAGTTTCTTATTCAATGGTAAAATGTATGTTAGGGTGTATAACGTTTAAATGTCTAAGAAAATCGACTAGGGCATAATTTTGGTTTTAGATGGAAGATGTCGAGAGCTTCCATAAATATATTCGCGATGACTGATACCTATAGTGTTCCCGACGTTTGTTCAAAAATTTTACCATTGTAAGAAAAAGAGAGAAGGTTTGGTTCCAGATTCTCGGCTTTTAATATATCTGAAATGATGTTAACAGTTTCAGGATTAGGACTTTGGTAAAAAAGGATTCAACGTCGAAACTAACCAAAATATCTTGTGTATTTAATGTAATGCTTTTTGATTGTTCAATAAAGCGAAAGGAATTAAGTACGAAACTATTAGTTTTCCCTGTAAAGGGTGTTGATAGAGAATCTAGATATTTTGCTAGAGAAAATGATGGAGAACCAATAGTACTGACAATAGGTCGAAGGGGTAATCCTGGTTTGTAAATTTGTAGAGACGAGGAATTTTAGAGGGATAACAGACCTTTTCACAGAGTCTGATAGAGAAGAGGCTTTAACAACTCTCAGTCTAGTATGCTGACAAAGTAGCCTCTCAGTGTAGATCTGCCATCTTACTAGAGTTAAACTCTCAATACTTTATTACGGTTTTTCAAATCTGGAGCGACTGTTCCACGCAAAACCAAGTAACCGAGCCACTCTCGGCTTCAAATTTCATCATCTTCGGTGAGCAAAAAAAAAAACAGGACGTTCTAATTCGGCTATTTCGCTTCCGTTCGCCAAAGTAAATTGAAAAATTAAACTCGAATTCGAATTAACGTTAATTAAAAACTTGCTGCGCCGTTCGGAAAGAAATTCTAGCAGTTCTTTTAATAGAATCCTTTACTAGAATAATTATTTTAATGCGAAATTTAAAAGCAAAGAAAACTTTTGCGCGCGGACAGAGAAAAGAAAACTTTCGGGCAAGGGGGTGGGGAGGGCCCCCTTCGTCCCCCCCCCCGCCTCCGCCCGGGAGAGAAGCGTCGCAGCGGACTTCGTAAATATGAATAGAAGCTACCCGAGATTTTTTCACGATCGATTCCCTCACCCCACCCCTCATAAAAACTTTGAAATATGAAGCGGCCGGCTTGAAAACTCGAGCGGAAACAGTTATTTAAAAGCTCTTCAATGTAAACTAATGGAAAAAGTTCCTTCGGGGAAAAAGGAAATTCGTAAACAACGAGTGCTACTACTACTACCTCCGTGCACGCTTCAAATTTATCTTTCACTTTGCCCGCGCGCTTTAACTTTATTTTAATACTTTGGGCGATCGTGCCACCCCACACCTGCGTCTATGAGACTGCTGTGTTATCTCCTTTCCTTAATTTGCCAATGACGCTACGTCCAATTAACTAATTATTCAAAGAGACTTCCACAGCCTACTGTAATATTATTTACAAATCTTCTGGATTCTTCCAGCGTCTTCCAGAAGATTAAGGAAGGATAAAATTTCGGAAAATGAAGCTTCGATGGAACAATTACAAGGATGAAAATAACCAAAATACTACAAAAAAAAAATTCTGAGGTTCGAGTTTTTGTTTTTGACTCAAAATCACTATTTTGTGATTCTTTTGACTCTAATTTTTTTGAGATAATATCATTTACTTTGTCTCTATAGACTTTTGTGGTTATGTGTATATAAATAAATAAAGGATGGGGGTCCTAGAGCTTCTGCCGCATCTCGCATTTCGATCGCAACATGTTTCTGTCTCTCCAGGCCTCTTCATTTATTACTCGGTCTCATATAGTTGTCATAAATGCATCCAGCCATGTGGTAGCTGGTCTCCCTCATTTTCTTTTATTTGGTGGTGCATATTCAAAAGCTTTTCTTGACCATCTATTTTTCTCCGTTCGTCTAACATGTCCATACCATACCAGTTGTCTTGTTTCAATTCGTTCAGTTGTTATGGGTATTCAATTTGTACGGCCTCTAATCTCATCACTTGGTATGTGTTCTAACCTAGATATGCGACATGGTCTTCTGAGAAAATCCATTTCTACAGCATTTACTTTCCTCTTCTATGATTTCTTTAGCTGCCAATATTATGATCCATACTAGTACACTCCTCTGTCCCTGTTGTATTTGTTAGATATAATACTACCAAGTTATTTATACTCTTCGCATTGATTAACCTGTCTTAACCATAAGTCGGGAGCTTGAGTTGATTTTCATTCCCTCTAGATTATATTCACCTTGTAGTGTCCTTATAATCTATATCCTCTTCACCATTTGCAATAATTCCCATACCTGAGCATTTTTGTGTCCATTTTTGTGGTGTTTCTTGCATAAAAAAATTAGAGGAGAAAGGCACCATCCCTGTACCCTTTGTCACACTAAATGGTTCTGAAAAGGTGTTTTGGCTCTACACTCTGTGGATTCTGGTACCTCTTGTTTAGTGCTCTAATATATCCTTTATTTATGTCCGTTCTCGTAAAAATATTAACTAAAAGTTGTAAGGGTACCGTATCGTAGGCTGTCTCAAGATCAATAAAGACAAGG